GACTTGCAGGTCGATTTCGGCTTTGTGAATGAAATCGCGGATCTTGTCGTAGAGGGCTTCGAGTTCGATCTGGGATTTTCCTGGCTTCTCGCAATCTGTCAAGGCTGCTTTGAGGGCTTGGAGAGTTACGAGGGCGAGGGGACGTTTTTTGGTCATGGCTTCCATACGCGGGTCTTTGATGGTGATGGAGGTGTACCATGCTGGGAGGGATTTTGCAATAGGATACTTGTCGTCTGGATCGTCTGAGACGAAGAGGTCGTTTGATGGCACGATCTCTGATTCTGATGCGTTTGTTGGCGTTGCCGGTGTTGCTGGCGTTGCGGCCCTTGAAGATGTATCAGCCGACCGCTCCCGTGAAGCGCCTGCAGTCGATGATTCTGCAAACGTCGCACTCTTTGGCGAGTCCTTAAGAGGCTCCCTCTGCTTCCTCATCTTCCACAGGCTCTGAACATCGATCTGCTCGTTCGTCTCCTTCTCCTGTGGCTTCTTCTGGGTCGGGGTCGGAGTCGCAGACTTAGACGTCGCCTTGCCCAGCTCCTTTGTATTTACTTTTAGCTTTTTGGGCGTGTCGGCGTTCGGCTGCGGCTTCTTTTGAATCTGAACTTGAACCTTCGACTTGGTCGGCTCTGTAGCATCCTCTTTTGCTTTATTAGAGGTGTCGTCTTTTGGCTTCTGGGAGACGGCCTCCTTCGCCTTGGACTTGTCTTGAACTCGAGGCTGGAGATTCTCTTGGACCTTCGTCTTCTTAGCCGGCGGATCGACAGGCTTCGCACCGGGAGATGTTGGAAGCTTACGCTTTAAACCCTGTTGCGCTGGCTTAATGACCTTGGGCGTGACCGCGATGGTGTCCGCCGCGACAGGTTGCTCCGCATTCTTGAACGGGTTTATTTGATGCTTTGCTCCTAGCTCCGTCATCTTCTTGCTCAGAAGGCTCATCCTCTTTTGGTGCTCCTCGTCGTTTGCCTCCTTCTGCTCCTTCGTCTTTTGTAGAATCCTCGCGACGGCTTCTGGTCCAGTACCAGACGCCTTCGCAGCATTCTGGGCTTTCTCCAGCAGCCATGCTGAGGATTTAGGGACTTCGTTTTTGGTCGCTGCCATGGTGTTGCAGTTGATATTCTGCGAGGTGGGGTGGTCGTGTGTTTGTTTACAATGTCAGGCGCCAGCTGGCGTTTGCCATATACGTGCCGCGCTACCTCTAGGCTGCAACAACAGAGGTGCGGGGTAAAAGAGAGGAGCAGTGAATATGGATACTAAGGTACTGTGGATGACGTGGAGTGTAATAGACCTCCGGTGCTAATCCGCTGCGGCCTTGGGGAAGCACGCGTGCGGGTAATTCTTAGGCTCTTGCTAGACCCTACTAGAAGCTGCGATATGTCTGTGAGACAGCTGCAACCGTGATAATTATAACTATGTAATTGGCATCGATAATCCGGTTGATGCTGAAGATGAATGGGAGGAAATGGGTGAGGTTTATATAGTATTCGAGGTTTGACCGCGACTGCTCGATGTCGCGGATGCCACGCTAGTCTCGCATTATCGCCGCGCCTTGATTGGCTCACGCGTTATCTCGTTCGACATGGGTGTATGTATTTCTCTGATTTCACGTTGGACAAAAGTCACAAGACAATGCATGTTGGAGTCACTACCTAGGTAATGCCTATAGCATGCATATACGAGGATCGAAAGCGACAATCTTACCTCAAACAAGTATATCTTATAGAAGAACAGTCATTCTTGCATACAAGTAATGCAAGTTGGAGTCACGGTATTACGTGTCCAGAGGCTATGCAATACAGATATAAAGAGTGAGCCACAGTATCCTAGATAACCTTAAATATTGATCTCTACATGGGGAAGGCTCATGTAGAACAGTCAAAGTAATCGACGCAAGCCTGAAAATGGCAGCTATGTCGACACATCTTAATACTGTGTTTATCTTGCCAAACCTATAGCTAAGACGTAGCTTCTGGCTTCAGTAATAACAGGCGAGCTCGTCTTTTAAAGAAAGCTCACTTACGGTTGCCGCATATAGTATATCGCATACCAAACACAGGAACCCTGGGTGCAGTGTGTTACAATAATCTCTGTATGCTTGACTGGCAAAAAATCGCCGACAATTTTTGACCCGATCACTACATGCGATGCTTTCATGATCAAAGACGAGTTTATCTGTACATTGAACTCGCCATCACTCGCATGAACAGAACAAGAAAAAAGATTCAGGGAAACATGCCGCATTTCATTGCACAGCCATATCCCGTCACAGACGACGTGTCTATCTCTACTACAGACATGCACACATACATATCCGTTTAACCCAACACCAAAATATCCGATACAGTACAAAACAACCACTCTACTCATCATCACTCTCCTCCTCATCATCCTCCATCTCCAAATCCTCATCACTCAACCCATCAAGCTCAACCTCCTCTTCCTCCTCCTCATCCTCATCAGCCGCAAACTCCTCTCCACCCTTCTTATCATACTTCTCCCCCTCCTTCCTCTTCCTATCCTCCGTCTTCCTAGCCTCCTCAAGCAACTTAGCCTTCTGCTCCCTGCTCTTACGCTGACCCGCCACATACGCGCCGAGCGGACTCTTATCCCACTCTACATCCTTCAAGAACCCATCGACACCCGCACGGTTATTCGGCGCAAACTCAACCTTATTCCTCTTCTCCTCGACCCAACGGGAATTAGCCTCTAGTTTCTGGACGAGCAGCGCGATGAGCGACGAGACTTTAGTGTTTTTGTTTCCGGAGCTCTTCTTCGTCATGGCTTTGACCCAGCGCTTTAGCATGACGATGACGGGGAGGGCGAGTTCAGGGAAGGCGATGTTTTTTGTCCAGAGGATGAAGAATTCGGAGAGGAGTTCCGCGACTTGCTCGCCGATGCCGTCTTGGTAGATGCGTGTGCGCAGGAAGGCTTTGGTTGCGCGGATGCTGATGCTGAAGTCGAGGGCTTTGAGGGTGCTGGGCTTGGGGGGTTTCTTCATCTCGGCCGAGTTGAGGACTTCGACGAGGGCGGGCGCGAGCGGGATGTAGGTGGAGGTTGCTTGGGCGATGCGGAGCAGCGAGCGGATGAGTTGGAAGCGCAGGGGGAAGTATTGCGATGTGGGGATTAGGCGCATGGCTCCGAGGGTGACTTGGACGACGGGGTAGATGAGGGGGCGGAGGGGTGAGGGTTTGCCGGACTCTGCTTCGCGGAGGGTCTCGCAGTGCATGGAGATGACTCTTGACCAGAAGTCGAGCGAGTGGACGTATTGCCAGTTGTAGACGGTCTTGTAGGAGTCTTTTGTCTTGTTGGTGATGCTTGTGCGTAGGTGTATCGCGAGCTGGCGGATGAAGCCAAAGCCCGTGGTGTAGCCAACAGTGGGATCGATGCCCCAGAGCTCGGCTGCGGTGTTCTTCATCAGGTTGATACCCTGGATGGTGTGGATTGTGGTATTCCTTGCGCTCTTGACGAGACCCTGGTAAACCTGCTTCAAGACAGCCTCGCGGATGCTTGGGTCCGCAATGACTACTAGTCGTCGCAGAACCAAGAAAGCCGACACTCTTGTTCCGTCGTTGTTGGCACTATCCGACCAGACTGATGCGACAGAGCGCACGACCTCACGAACGACCTTCTTGAAGGACAGAATGTATGGGAGCATGTGGGAGAGCGAGTCCAGTGTCATCTGGAGGGTCTTCGCATCGGACAGGTTCTCAAGGAGGTGATGTATCGAGACGGTATGCGACTTGAGGAGGGGAGTAAGTGTGCGGAACTTCTTCGAGTCGGTAGCAACGCGACTGAGATTGTTAGTGAGCATCCTGAAGAAGTAGGGTGATTACTTACATCCTGCCTCCAGCGCTCTCCTTGACGGGCAAGTGATGTTGGAGGACCTTGGGTACTAGGTGAAGAGTAGTTACTTGGACCTGGTGGTATACTATATTCTGTTAGCTCAGTTATCTGATGGAGGTTGAAGATCATACCATCTGGGTCGGTTATGGAGTACTTGTATGATTTAGTAGCCTCCGAGTCGTTCATGTGTGATGCGGCGCGGAAGGCCAGAACGACCTCCTTCATGGCGCGCAGGGAATGTTTCGACTCCATGGCAGCCTTCCATTTTTGGATTGTCTTCAAGCCAAGCTCATTGCCCGCGTCTTCCTCGTCGTCGAATGCGCTTTCTTGCGCTTTCTGGGCTTTCTGCTTCTTTCTTGGTGTGGCCTCGTCTTCACTGGCAGACAGAGCGTCAATCTCTGCAAGGTCGGCGTCTTCGGCAAAGTCCAAAAGCTCGGCATCGTTCTCCTTGAGGTACTTGTAGAACTCGGGGTCCTTCTCCGCCAGTCCTTCGAGCTGCGCCTTGTGTGTGTCTGCGTCGTCGCCAGAGTCGCTTTCGGAGCCGGACTCGTCGGTGCCGTCGGGCGCATCTTCCATGTCCTCATCAGAGCCTTCCAGCGCATCCTCCTCGACGGGTGTACGTTTGCGCTTGCCGGTCTTGGGCTTGGTCTTCTTCTTGCTCATCTCGGGAATCTGGAAACCGCCTTGGAAGAACTGGTCCATGGACATTTCGCCCAAGTTGTCGTCCTTGGCGCCATTCGTCTTGGGCTTCTTCGCGGCTTCCTCCTCTAGGTCGTCGGCTTTGGCATTGTCGCGGGCCTTGCGCTCCTTCTTCTTGGTGTCCATCTGCTTCCTCTGCTTGACTTTGGCGACATCCTTGCGGCGCTTGATGACGTCGCCGAGCTTGTCCTTCTGGAACTTCTTGGTCGCCTTGGAGATAGGCATGTCGGCGGTATCTGGCGGTTCCTCGTAGGCGCGAGGGTGTTGTTGGCCGGGCGTGCAGCTGGCGATTGAAAAACTTGGGCCTCGAAAAAGTTCCAGCGCTAAGGACCCTTGCACGCACTGGATCCCTGGCGCCTTCCCCACGCGATGAGCTACGGCGCATCGATAACACAACTGTGCACCACTCAACTGAGCCCGCGACTCTATACATAAGATCAACTCATCTCTCGTAATTCATAATGTCCTACGGCAGGCAGCTGGCCTACGCGCCGACGCCCTACATTCCGCGCTCCAATCTCTCCGCGACCATCAACCTTGATGAGGTATGACGCGCTTCAGTCCCACTCCGCATGCGCATCCTCACTGTGTACCCAGGAAGTCAAGCTCTCTACGACCAATGCCGAGCGCGACTTGAACGACTCGCTCGCCGAGATCTACAGCATCATCATCACGCTCGACGCCATAGAAAAGGCCTACCTCAAAGACTCCATCGCCGAAGCCGACTACACCGAGACATGCAACCGCTTGATGAAGCAGTACAAGTCCAATCTTGCCAATGAGACTGTCGCGCGAGCATTCGGTGACCTGGATCAGTTTGCAAAGGAATGGCATGTACGTCATAGCAAGTCTTGAGCTTCTCCAGTACTAGGCTGACATGACTCCAGATGGAATGTCCCCGAGCTATCGAACGACTGCGCGTTGGCATACCCGCTACCGTCGAACAGGGACCATCACGACCGGCTCAGTCAGGCGACTTTGCTGACGCCACGCTGGTCGTCAACGCGACCGAGACCTTCATCACTCTGCTCGACGCCATCAAGATCGGGCTGGTGGAGAAGGACACCCTACACCCTCTCCTTGTCGAGATCATCCAGGCTGTCAACAAGGTCACAGATGTCGAATTCGAGAATAAGGGCAAGATTGTGCAGTGGCTGATCACTCTGAACCAAATGCGGGCCGCCGAGAAACTGAGCGATGAGCAGTCGCGCGAGTTCCAATTCGACATGGACCAAGCATACTACGGCTTTAAGACAACCCTAAAGAAGGCTTGAGACGGGCGAATAGGCAGCGTTGGACTATCAGAATATCTGCTTGTGGTACCTGCATCTTAGCCCCGCGATGGCTAGCTTGGGCCCACGCTGGACCTGGTGAGTACTGCACCCCACCGACCAACAATTTTCCCGCGCATTCGCCATAGTCGCTTCAGAATGTCCATGTTAGATGGTATACATCTGCGCCTTGCATCTGCATGTCTTGGTGCTAAATCCATGTCTAGTCCTTGACCTACCGCAACTCTATACCAAGCCCTCCGCTGAGGCCCTCCTCCAAACCCTCGCGCTCCTCACCACCGCTCCTCATTCCTGGGAATACACGAATACAAGGCACACAGATCGCGATGGGAAGGCGGTGATAGAGGCGCGCGAGCCTGTAGTTCAGGTTAATCCAGAAGGTGTCACACGGTACCTTACTACCATTATCAGTAGCGGGCTGCAATGGATCGAAGACGATGAGGTCAAGGAGCGCATATGGGATCAAGCCAGCGCCCGCCTCAGTGAACGATCCGGTCGATCTGCCATGAGCACCATGTCGCGCACTTTCCAAATTCCCACCTCGTCCGACTCATTCGAGCTTAAGATCCACGAGCCTGCCATGACAGGCGACGATCTGGGCCTGAAGACCTGGGCTGCTTCCTATATGCTTGCGAAGCGCCTCAGAACCTTCAATCTCGTTTCTCCGGACACACAAAATCGGCTACAAGTCCTTGAGCTTGGATCGGGTACGGGCTTAGTTGGGCTGGCAATGGCAGGCTTGGGCGCAGACGTTGTTCTGACAGATCTGCCCAGCATCTGCCCAAACCTGGCCTACAATGCGCAACAGAATCAGGAGGCCGTCAGTCTCAATGGCGGGACAGTCCGCACAGCTATGCTTGACTGGACAAACCCTACTTCCTGTGAGCCACTGCTAGACGACAACAGTACTGGCGATGACGCATCCATTCCCGCCAAATTCCCCTTGATTCTTGCTGCAGACTCGCTCTACTCCCCAGACCATCCGCACATGTTGGTTGATACCATCGGCGTTTGGCTGTCTCCGGACGATAACGCTACAGTGATCATCGAGTTTCCATACCGAGACGCTTACTTGCCTGAAATCAAGGACTTTCGCCGCCGGATGTTAGAGCTTGGGCTACAGGTAGTGGAAGAAGGAGAAGAGAAAGGACGCGATGACTGGGGCCCGTCCGAGGCGAGCGAAGATCAAGACGATGATGCACTCGTGACTTGCTGGTGGTCATGTTGGAAAAGGCAGAATTCAAAGGCCAGCTGAGATATTCCAACCAAGATTGCCGCACATTACCCTCTCAAAAGACCCGGCGAGCTTACACTAAGGCGAAATGGCAAGGTGGCCCACGAACCGGAACATGCGCAATTTGGTTTGGTCATTCGCATAGCCGCGGCGCTGCATAGCGACCTCGGAGCAACGCCGAGATACCCACTCCAGCTTTCCAAGAACAGTGATGCAAGCGCCGGATAATTGTTACGGATAATTTGAACAGCTTCCAGACTCCCGCGCTGCAATGGAGGGGCATTTCCTAACCCAGGCGGGATAGCTTGCCGCGAGGGCTACTAGGATCCACCGTTTGTATCGTCATTAGCATTTCACCTGCGCGTGAGTTTTGGAGGGACGTGTTCTTACTTATTTCTTTCCCAAACAATTGATTCTGTAACTATTGCGACTGAACTTGAAAATCTCACAATATATCACGATGGCGACACGAACAGCAACCCAGAAGGTATAGCTTGACTGCCCCACCATGCCCCTCCAAACATGCGATACCTTTACAACCACCATATGAATAGTCTGAACGCTTCAACTAACAGGCCCCCAGAACCCCTCCTTCATCCTCAAAGCCAAAAACGAAGTAATCTACGAAGACCGGCCCATCCCCACACTCCCCTCCCCCTACGACGTCCTCGTTCGCCCGCGATGGACCGGCATCTGCGGTTCAGACGTACACTACTGGGTCGAAGGCCGAATCGGGCATTTCGTTGTCGAGAAGCCGATGGTGCTCGGCCACGAATCCGCGGGCATCGTGCACGCCGTCGGCGACAAAGTCAAGAGCCTCAAAGTGGGCGATGAAGTCGCCATGGAACCCGGTGTGCCCTGCCGCCGCTGCGTGCGCTGCAAAGACGGGAAGTACAATTTGTGTCCTGACATGGCGTTTGCGGCGACGCCGCCGTATGATGGTACGCTTGCGAGGTATTATAGCCTGCCCGAGGATTACTGCTATAAGTTACCGGGCAATATGAGTATGGAGGAGGGTGCGCTTATTGAACCTACCGCCGTCGCCGTACACATTACACGGCAAGCTTCTATCAAGCCCGGCGACTCTGTTGTTGTATTCGGTGCTGGGCCTGTCGGTCTGCTTTGCTGCGCTGTTGCGAAGGCGTACGGCGCGAAGAAGATTGTGACTGTCGATATCAACGACGAGCGGCTCAACTTTGCGCTCAAGTACGCGGCGAACGCGAGTTTCAAGAGCGCGCGAGTGAGTGCGCAGGAGAATGCGCAGAATCTGGTTAGGGAGTGTGGGCTGGGGATGGGCGCGGATGTTATTATTGATGCGAGTGGGGCGGAGCCGTGTATTCAGACTGCGATTCATGCTTTGAGGATGGGTGGCACATACGTTCAGGTTTGTCTCCTTTCCTCCCTTCCCCATCCCCCTCTTACCCCACCACATACCCCCTTCCACCTCTCATTCCACAATACTAACCCACCCCAGGGCGGCATGGGCAAACCCGACATCAACTTCCCCATCATGGCCATGTGCACCAAGGAACTCAACGTCAAAGGCTCCTTCCGCTACGGCTCCGGCGACTACCAAACCGCCATCGATCTCGTTGCGGGCGGCAGGATCAGCGTCAAGGAGCTTATCACGGGCAAGGTCAAGTTTGATGAGGCGGAGAAGGCGTTTGCGGATGTCAAGGAAGGGAAGGGGATTAAGATTTTGATTGAGGGGCCGGAGGGGCAGTAGATGTGAGGGTTGAGGGATGGGGATGGAGATGGAGGCGATAATTTGTACAAGAGTGATAGAGTGATTTGGGGGGTTGCTGGTGTTGGTATTGGCGGGTGAAGTTGTGTATGGCACGGTGTTTATGTAGAGGTTAGGGTAGAGACACATTTTTTCAATACGATGTTATGATCTTGACGCTTTTGCACAGAAAAGGTACGTGTTGGACATGCATCTTCTCTGTAGTTCTGTGTAATTTTCACGCTTCTACATTGATAATGTTCCATCGAGCTTTCTGATATGCGCTTCCACGGCTCTTATCCTCGTTTCTCGTGTTAAGAAAAAAGAACCACGCGAAGTAGTTCATCTCCTCAATTCAGATGAGCGGACCAACCACACCAATTCATTGGAAACAGCCACAAGCATCGCTTCTCATCACTACCGGCGGTACGGGCATGTAATCATCACGTCTGAAATACAGAGTACTACAGTATGAGTCGGTTGTTCAAACTAATCAACACGCCACGCATGTCACTTTTGCTTCCACCACCACCTTGGCTACGACAGAGGGGTTCAGCCAATTTTCTTGATGATCTTGACTGAGGCGCAAGCTGTAAGAAGCTCGTTAGGCCAAGGCACACACTGCATAACAAACGGCTTCTCAAAACGGGCAAGGGAATTGTGGGGAAAGGATGGGGCTGAAACGAGGAGTTGCCTCAGGTTTTGTCACGTCAGAGATGTCACAGCAGTCAGAGCAAAAATGCAAGAAGGTAAATCCTTGGAGAATGGCAACGATGGGTGAGAGCGATAAGTGCAGTGAGCAAATGTGTCATGATGTGTTTTTTGTGTTATTGATTCATTTTTGTTTTCGTTTGTAAAGTGTTTAGTAGTGCAAACACCTAGCGCCCGTACATTCGCTGCATGACGCCGTGAAAATAGTAACTAGGATCGTTCGGGGGCGTTCTGGTCGGGATAGGATGCTCGACTGCTCGTTTGTTGGGGTTTTTGGTATCGTGAGATGAATGCTGCTGCTGCTCGTCTTGGATGCTGAGTGTGAACGCCTCCGCTCGTGGGCGGTTCCGGAAAATCGCTAAATCATTGGTGGGTGGTCTGCCAGAGAGTTGGGGAGTGGTACGTCGTCTACGTGGACATTGTACATGGAAAGGCGTGTGTGGGGTATAGTTTGTTGAGAAGCGAAGTTGAGGTGCATTGTTGTTGCTGTCTACGGAAAGGCCAGACTATGCGGTCATCTTGCGGGCTGTGGAACCACGCTTGGGGAGAGTCCATGGCTCGGGGCAGACGACCTTGAATAACGTTAGTATGTCGATGTCTACTAGGGATAAAATGGCACATACCTCGCCCTCGCTAAATGCCCAGAAGTACGCTCCCATGCCGATGATGTAGTAGAGTCCCGAGTTGGTGCCTTGGTAGATCAAGAGCGCACACAGCGCACTGAGCGGGTAGATGATCAGGCGCGCTTCAATCGAGCGGTGTAGTCCTGTGCCAGCGAGCAGTGGCAATGGCCATTCCCATGCTAGACCGATGAAGCCGAGAATCATGTTGATGACTTGGAGCACGGGGATGGGCTTTACGGCGCCATCGAGGTTCTTGGTAGCAAAGTCCCAGAAGATCTTGGGCCAGAAGAAGCATTCGAGTGCAGCTCCTATTTGATCTGGAGTTGTAATTAGTATGGTGTTGGTGGTGGTGGTGGTGTCGATGGCTGTGGGGTAAGACTTACACGCAGCAGCCGTGAGGATGACGAGGCGCGCCCAGTGGTTCTTGATTAACTTGCCCATTGTCGAAATACGGGTATTATAAAGAAAGGATACGAGCAATAAACCGAGCCCGCGGTCGTATAGGTGAGAAAATAAAGGTAAATAGAAAAAATGAAGAAAAGAAAGTGGAAATGTCCCTTCGACTACCAGTAGTCCCTCAGCGACAGATGAGCATCGATGGGCTTGGGTGTGGCAGGGCGAGGTTTTGTGTTATAGACACTGGCCTGGTCGCGGATGGGCGGTTTGCAGGCGTGGCGAAAGCGGTAAGGCT